ACCAGGGCGTACGGTTCCCCGGCTGGGAGCGCGGTGGAGAGGTGAAGACCCAGAAGACATGGCCCCCGACGTGGGACGTGGGGCCTAGACGCCCATACCTGTCCTCCGGGGAGCCCGGAAAATCGAATACGCTGGGCTGGACCGCACCCGCTCTGTGCGTCCCGGGGTGGCACTGGGGGAAGTTGATGTCCCGGTGACCCGCAGGGCCCTCTGGTATGCTCGATTTGGGACCCCGCCCTGAGCTGGCTGGGCCCTGGTGTCCCTGCACAAGAGACCTGGCCCGATTTCACCACTGCAGGCAGGAATGCGTCGAAACGGGTGAATGAGCCGGAGAACCCTCTTTTTGGGACAGTGTGAAACCGGGTCCACCCAGAGGAGGAGCTGCACCGGGCCTATCCCGGCTGTGGAATTCAGAGGCCGAGCGAGTGTGGGTCCCTGAAATGCTGCCTCAGCGGAGTGCCGCCTGTAGGAAGGGGAAGTTTAGTGTTCAGCCAGATCTTCAAGAAGTGAGGTGTGTTGAAGAGGGAGAGTATTCTGGGGCAGCTGAAGGTGGTCGGCTAACCTGTGGACAAATGGAGTATTTTTGTTTGAATCCTTTTGTGTAGATTTCATTCTGCTGCTGTAGGAACATTTCCAAATTAGGCTGTGGCTCACCCCTGAAGTGGCATGTGGTGGCGATGCAGATAGAGAAACACAGTCACCATGTTCACATTTCCTAGAATGTCAGGAAAGTAAGTCTTGATGCTTTACTGAGGGCCACGCACCTGTTGAAGATAAAGCCAGGACTCTGACCTCGCCGGGGGAGTTGACTGTAGGGGACCCCATTTTCTGCTCACAGAAGTTGCCAGTGTGGGTGGGGAGAGGTAGGAGCTGTGAGCACTTGGTGGTGGCGTTTCTCCGAGCGAGTGGCCCCAGCAGGCTACCCTGAATGGCGCAGGTCTTCAGGAGCCGGAGTACACGTGTGCCCCGGGCTGGCTTCTGCATAGCGCTCCTTGTAATTCTTCCACACTCTGTTTATTTTTGCTTTTTGCTCCCTCTGTACCACCGGAGGCAGCCAGAGGATGCATACCTAGTAGTAGTCTGTGTGTAGAGCATCCGGTGGCTCCAGCTACTTTGTATCTGGCGGCCCTCATGGTGGCCGCACGGATGCGCTCAAGTCTGGACACACGGCACTGGATGTTGCTGGGGTGGTGGCACTGCCCTGTGAGCCACATCTGCTTGAGTGTCCTGATGAGACTGTTCTGGGTGGGGGCAGAGGCGGAGAGCTTGTCTCTGATGGGGTCTGTTCGGCAGGTAGCTTGTGGGCCAAAGCCCCCAGGTGTCCGCCTTCCCTAGTGAAGCGACTGCACCTGCTGAAGGAGGGTCCTAGGCCCTAGGTGGGGCCTAGGAGTGCGTGCTCACCTTTGGGGCAGAGCTCCAGTAGGCCCCCAAGGGAAGGGCGTGGTGGAGTGGGACCGGAGGGGCTGGGGTCAGGCTTGGGTTTTGTTCTCTCACGTTTTTTTGTGAACTGCACTGGAATATAATTGAAGACACCCAGCTGTCCATATTTAAAATGTGTCCCATCAGTCTTGACTTTGACTTCTACCTCTGACCCAGGGCTGCGCTCAGGATCTACCCCTCTGGGGAAGCTAGTGCTTCTATGGTGACCGCTCCTAGAACAGCCCCACTCTGGGCCCACGGTCCAGGGCCACGTGGTAAAATGGGGGGGGGTGAGAGAAGTCCTTCCAGAGCTGCTGAGTTGTGCAGCAATGGGCAATAGCTAAGGGGACCGAGGTGTCCGTCTCCGAATCCTCAGTGTGGCCACGAGTAGTTCACCCCTTATTTGGCGTGTTGTTTTCATAATAGAAAGGACAGCAGATGGTTACACAGAGGCCAGTTTGAGAAGCGCTCAAGAGATTTGTGCGAAAAGAGGCCTAGGGTACCCACGAGGAGAAGTGTATTCTCCTATTTCGGCTTTTGGGGTCTTTGCCTCAAACCACTGGTCTGTGATTAGGTCAGGTTATCTGGGAAGTTCAGATCATTTTCTACTGAAAACACCAGCGTGGTATTGAAAGGAAATGGTATTAAAATAAAGAAGGAAATTAATGGAAATGCTAGTGACCAGTTTTATCCTCAGCAAAGTCTCAGAGTAAAGGAGGGTATGGGATGAGTGGAAGCAGGCGTGAGGAACAAGGTGTCGGTTCCTGAACATCTCCATCCCCACCGGAAGGGGCCCACCCTCTTGTAAATGGTGGCCCTGCCTCAGTGTAGCCCCTCCATGGTGACCTGTGAGCCACTCAGGTGGGGCTATCAATCCTGAGAAAGGAGAAGGGGTACAGGGGAGTCTTTGTGCCTCAAGCCCCATTATACTGCGAGCCTAAACTGCTACACACACACTTTTTGGTTGTTGCTTGTTTTTGTTTGTTGCTTTTTTGAGACAGGGTCTCTCTAGGCAGTTCAGGCTGTCCTTGAACTCACTATGTGGCCCAGACTGGCCTCAAATTCGTGGTGATCCTCCTGCCTCAGCTTCCTGAGTGCTGGGGTCACAGGTGTGTGCCACCACGCCCAGCCTCACACACCCAGTTTTAAGAGTCAATGTCATTTCTCTCACCTATCTAGTCTTTCCTGTGTTCCTCAGGGAGCTTTCCTTGGGGGACCCTGAAACAGCGTGGGCTGGAAGAAGAGAATGGAGTTTGGGGCATGAATTATAGTTTAGTCTTGATGCTGCTGTTGCCAATAATATAGATAAACCAGAACAGACTAATGCAAAGGTTCTGTCCTCACCTTAGTTGAAGGAAAGCAAGGCACTAGTGCCCTTCTGTCCTGGAGGCGCCCTGCTGTTCCTGATGGGTGGGCCCAGCCGCAGGGGTGGACGGACTCACCAGTGCACAGTGGACACCTGCTGGTTGAGAAGCTGTGGAGCCTCTGTCCAGTTACTTTCTTTGTTGCTGAGACACAATACCCAGCACCCATAGCTTTGGGAAGAAGAGGTTCACCTGGCTCAAAGGCTGGGCGGCCCGGCAGAGGGGCACAGAGAGGGAAGGGAGGAGCTGCAGAGGAAGAGGAGCCCTTCCTGGTCACGCTCCACGCTCCACGCTCCCTGCCCCCCTCCAGGCCCAACTCCTAGCTGCAAGTCTGCGGAGGCACCCCGTGAGCCCTACTACGGGGCATCTGAAGCTGCTGGGCATGCCCAGTTCTGAGCCGGGGCGGATTTCAGACTGTGCCAGACACCCCAGAGCATGTCCAGTGCATGGCTTCCTTGTTAAACATTGTAATGTTTATTTTGAAAAGATGGCCCATTAGCTCATGGTTCTGATGCCTGCCTCATGTGTGCCTCACAAGCACAAGGACTGGAGTTCGATCCCCTTTCAAACTGTGCCAGACACCCCAGAGCATGTCCGGTGCATGGCTTCCTTGTTAAACATTGTAATGTTTATTTTGAAAAGATGGCCCATTAGCTCATGGTTCTGATGCCTGCCTCATGTGTGCCTCACAAGCACAAGGACTGGAGTTCGATCCCCAGAACCAAAAAAAGTGGGTGGGGGGCAGAACTTACCCATATTCACTGTGAAGGGATCCGGTCTTACTGGTGTATATGAACTTGTACTCTAACTAAATTTCAGAGAGGGGTGAACCTCTGTTGGTTTATTTCTTCAGCTTGCAGTCCTTGTCTAGAGCCTGGGTTCTTAGCCTGCTCGTGTCCCTGTCTTTCAGCGTAAAGGTGGCAGTGATGCTAACACTGGCAAGCAAACTGAAGCGGGATGACGGTCTCAAAGGATCCCGGACGGCAGCCGCCTCGTTGGACTCCACGCGGAGGGTTTCTGTGAGAGACAAGTTGCTTGTTAAAGGTAATCATGACCGTGTGAGCTGTTTCTATGTCCTGTATTAGTGGACCTATTACAAAACAAAGCTGGCCTGGAAGCTGTGCTGGGTATCGAGCCAGTGTTACTGGTTGGAAGGACTTGTTTGGAAAGGTTTCTGAGTCTAAGCCCCTGTGGCTTACATGGAGAGGACTCGTGCACTGCAGACGACAGGATTGTAGTGGCAAGGACACAGTGTCATGGTACTCGAAACTGGCACGGGCATGTCCTCTGTTGTTGGATCTGCCAGCGTGAAGGAATGAGGCTCGGGGCGCTGCCATTGCCTCTGTCCTGGCGTGGTCCATCCTCGGTCTGGGCAGCGTGGGTTGGACTGGGCCTCTCAGCGTCCTTTCCTGTTATATGCAGGGCAGAGCCTAAGGTGAGTACATGAATCCCGTCCTAGGCCATCATAGTCACTTTGCTGCCCGTGTTTGAAGGTCAAGCTTCATCCTGCCCTTAGCTCCCTATTGGACTGTGTAGGCTCAAGTGAGCAGTTGCTGGCTACTTGAGTGCAACCAGCGCTCAAGCTGCTGCTGCCTCAGGCTGATGCTTCTACACAGGAACAGATTGAATAAAGGCCCAGGAGGTAGTGTGTCCTCTGTCCCCATGGTGGCCACCTTGTGAGGGTCAGAAGCTGGGATGGGCCGAGCACCTCGCTCAGGTGGGCCTCACAGGACTTAAATCCCTTTCCTGGATTTTGCCGGGAGCCCAGCAAGCCAGGCGGGGGTCTTGGGGTTGCTGCTGCAAGACTTACAGTGAGTTGAGGGACAGGTGTCCACTGAGGAGGTGCTAACTGGTGACTCCTGTCTTCTTCCTGCACTACTGTGTTGGTGCCAGGCCCCTGTTGGGGACTCTGCATGCATTTGTGCCGCTATAGCAAACACCACAGGTGATAATTTCTAAACAATGTGCACTTACTCCCATGGTCTGCAGGCTGGGAAGTTCAAGATGAAGGTGCTGAAGAGTTGATGTTTGTTTTCTGCTTCCAAAGTGACGCCTAGTTGTCCTGTCCTTGAGGGGCAGGAGGAGGAGCCTAAGCCAGGACCCTCAGCCTGTCTGAGGCGCCACTCTACTCGCATAGGTGCTGGGGCTCCGTCACTTCCCCAGTGGCCCCCCTTTAATACCACCTTCATGGGGTTAAGTTCCTCACGATTTTTACCTATAGTGGCTCCTTTGCCAGCACTGCAGGGCTGATTTTGGTTGGCACTTTGGTGGGTGCTTTCTCTACCTCTAGAGAGCTGGGCTCAGGGCTTCCACTTAGTAAGGAAGCCTGTGTGTTGCAGCAGGACTGGCAGCCCCACGTCCTGTGGGCCCTGGGTGGGGTGGACTTGGTGGTCCAGTGGAAAGTACAGGGCCCCAGAGCAGAGCTCTGCCTGAGCTCCAGCACAGATGCCCTTAGAGCTGACCTTGTGAGCCCCTTCGAGGGGAGGTGCAGACACTGTTCTTGGAAAAGGAGAAGGAGCACTCACTGCTCACTGGATCTGTTCTATCCAAACAGTCTGGTGAGTGGAGTGGGCTTGTTTTGTGTTTATTTTGATTTTTGTTTTTGTTTTTTGAAATCCTGGAGATTTGAACCCAGGGCTTTGACACTGCACTTCTTCCAAGCCTTTTTAAAATTTTTGTATCTTGAGAAAAGGATCTTTTTAAGTTGCAAAGTTGCCTAAGTGAGACTCAGACTTACAACCCTCCTGCCTCGTGCTAGGAGAGGTGTGCACCACTGTGCCTTGCTTGTCACATGGTCAGGGTCATCGTAGCATTTGGTGGCATGTGAAGGTGGAGAGTTCTGGAAGCTGGCCCTGCTAATGTGAAGGCAGGACAGTTGGCCGTGAGACCTACATTTGTGTGCTCTGGTGGAGGGCTGGATGCCAGAGGAGCTGCCCTGGGGTGCTTGGGGTGCCAGGGAGGGCTGTGGTAGCACAAGACAAGGTCTCAGGTTGAAAGTAGGTAGCTTGAGGCCTTGGGTTCACTTAGTGGCATCAGCTTCTGCCTTTTGGGCTTACAGCCTTTCTCCCCAAAAAGGGCACTGGGATGCCCTGGGTGGAGAGGCTCAGCGTGGATTGTGTAAGTTCAGGTGCCTCCAGGTGAGGGCGCTGCAGTGGGCAAGAGAGTGCAGAGTCACCAAGACTGGAGGCCGTTAATGTGGAAAGACAGACAGGAACCCCGGATAGAGCTGTAGTTCAAGAACTGAGCCAGTGCTTCAGGCAGGAGGGAGCAACAGGCGTCCTAGCAATCTCTGCTTGGGAGGAAGGGCTCGGCCACTCTGGCTGGGGTTGTCTGAGGGGTGAGGAGCCAGAAAGAGCCCTCTGCATCTGCGACTACCCTTCTGTCCTGGTCAGCACGGGCTGCTTTAACAAAGTGCCTCGCCTGGGGCAGAGCCATGGCTCTTGTTCGCACAGCTCTGAAGGCTGATGTCCATGATCAGGTTCCTGGTGAGGACTGGGTGATCCACTCTTGGTAAGGGCTCTCTCCTACCTTACAGACATCCAGCTCCTATCTTCCCACGGCAGGGAATCCTGGCTTTGTTCTTCCTGTAGGGGTATTACTTGTGCCAAGGGCTCCATTCTCGGTGTCCTCTTTGAAAACCTACATATTCCCAAAGTTCCCACTCATTACCACCATCACACTGCGGGCTAGGGCTTCAGATTCAGTCCCCAGAACCTGTGGAGTGCCTTGCCCCAGCGTTTGAGGAGAGAGGGCACTCACCACAGGGTTCCTGCCACCCCGCAGTGTGTTGTATTTCCTGAGCACCCTGGGCAAAGTCTAGTGCCAAGTGGTGGCTGGTGGGGCGGGGGCCCGTTCTGAGACCTGGGCAGCTGTGTTGGAGACAGCCAGGGTGGCAGGAGGTGAGCGTGTGTGGTATGGGGGTGTTATGGCTTGTATCTAAACGTCTCCCCAAGTGTCATGCACTCATAGGTGGGAAGTTTCAAAGGTGGCTGGATCAGAGTGTGATACTGGGATTAAGGGTCTGCTTAAAGGAAGCCCCCACATTGGATGTGGGTGGCCCTAGTCACCAGGCTTGTAGCCTGGATGGAATATAAAAGGACAAAGAAGGCAGGCTCTCTGCTGCTGCTGCTTCTTCCTGCGCCCCTTCCTGCCTGCCGCGCCATGGACTGTTTCTCCTCTGTGATGCCCTGGCCTTACTGCCCTGCCTTGGAGCCAGCTAACTATAGGCTGAAACCTGTACAGACTGTGAGCCAAAATAAACCTCTCCTCCTCCAACTTATGGGTATTGGGTATTTCATCTCAGCAAGGAAAAAAGTAAGGCAGGGCCACTGTGGCCACCAAGTGAATTTGTAATCTGATATTTGAGTGCAGTCATGCTTCAAGTGGGCTCTGTGGTTTGATCCTCTGAAAGGAAAAGAATAGTTTCTCAGAAGGAAATTGTGTACCCACAGAATTGTGCAAGGTGCCAGGTGCTTTCCTTGCCCTCTTCCTTTTCCTTTGCCAGTGGTGAGTTCCACTAAGCATGCAAATGCAAGCAAAACACTCATCTTGGAATTTACATTTTTTTTTAAAGCAAGGTCTCGCTGTGTCTTCCAGGCTGACCTTAAACTCACTCTGTAGCCCAGCCTGGCCTCGAACTTGTGGTGATCCTCCTGCCTCAGCCTCTTAAGTGCTGGGACTACAAGCATGTTCCACCAAACCCTGGAATTTACATTATCATATCCCCCACCGCCACCACTAGGGATTGAACTCAGGACCTTGTGCTTGTGAGGCAGGCACCTTGTCACTGAGCTAAGTCCCTGGCCCTTGGAATTTACATTTTTACCTGCAATGCAATGTTATTTTGTATTACATAAGCAGAACCTTTCGTTACATTCATTTGCTTGTGTGACGCCGCATGTGGGTGTTTTACATGGCAGAATGGTGTGTGGCAGTGACCCGAACCCTGGCTGTCATCTGAATGTTTGTTGCCCTGGGCTCTTAGGTTGGAACCTGATCATTAGTGTGATGCCACTGGGAGGAGCCTGTGGGAGGTGGTTAGTTGTGAAGGTATTCTTATGAGACCCCCGAGTGCGCCTTTGCCTCTGCCCGTGCGCGCGTGTGCACAAACACACACACACACACAAACACACACAAACACACGTGTGCAGGGACATGGCAGGCAGCAGTTCTTCCCTGCTGTCAGTCTGTGGGTGGGGAGAAAATGCCTGTGGTGTGTGCGATATCTTTATCACAGCGGCCAGACTGACTGAGATAACAGGAGGAAAGAAGGAGAATTCAGAGGCCCTGGCCCTGCCTGGCAGCTGTGATGCATGTGTTGTGGGCTAGTATTGGGGCATCAGGGTTTTTGCCGCTCTGAGCTCCTGGCTTGTGGTGATGGAGACAGCTCTAAAATTTACTAAAAATCATTATATCCTTGGCTTAAAAATAGCCCTATTGCATATTATGTAAATTATTACTCACTCATTGAAGCTATTGAGAAAAACCAAAGTATGCCCATCGATTGATGCTGCCCGGGCTGGAAATCCCTGCTCCCCGAGCCACATCCTCTATCCCTCCCTCACAAACACACACACACACACACACACACACCCATCCGTCCCTGAGCTCAGCTCTGTCGCAGCCTCGCTGTCCTGAGCCCAGGTCTCACCTCCCCTTCATTGGCACACCACACTGCCCCCTGATGCTTTCGCTCCCTTCACGTCTTTTCCATTGGAAACCCATACCCTTTGTACACATTTCTGCTCTGTAAGGCAGAGCTGTGCACTGGACCTCCCCCACTGTGGACAGAGTGGCAGAAGCCAGCTGCTGGGACCAGCATCGGTGTCTCTGCAGAGCAGCCTCTCATAAGTCCTCGTCACCAGAAACATACACAACCGTGGAATGAAGTGTGTGGCATGTACTTTAAGGAGGACTTTGATTATATGGGTAACGTGAACCAGAGGGCTTGCTGCTCTCTGCCTGTCCTCCAGAGAGTGGTTCAGTGCAGTTGTGGAGAGCATAAAGCCAGCAAACCCTGGTCCGGCTCTCCGTCCTCTGTTTGCTGAATGAGTACTTTGAGTGTGTTACACCACTCACCTGCAGGAGGACAGACTCCAGGCTGGCACTTGTCACAGCCCTCACTGGCATCCTCTTCTGGAGAAACTGCTCCTTCTCTGCACCCAGAGACTCCAGTAGAGCCAGGCCGCTGGTCCAGTCTCCCAGAGGTGCAACTGCTCTTGTGCTTGTCTGATACCCGAGGAGGGGGGTTCCCCTCACGCTCCAGCACTCAGTGCAGCTTTGGGGGCTCTGGCCTCACTTCATTTCTTGAGGAGACTATGTGACGGCTACTGCCCTGCACTCCTCCTCTCTCCTCTTGCGACCCCTGTCCCTGCTGTCTCTGGAGCCCCCGCAGGGTCTGGTCTGCCTCTCATAGCCTTTCTTGGGGATGCGTCCCTGGGGACCCCTCTGCACCTCTTCTGCTAAACACCACGTACCCAATGGCTGTTTTGGCTGTTGCTCACCTCTGACTTTGCCTCATTCTCTGCTTTCTACTGAGGTTCTCTTCCTCTGTCTGTTGTGGGGTCCTGGGGAATAATATCCTTGAGGTTCATCCCCATTGTCACAAATGGCAGCATCTCCTTTATTGACTTCTTCATTCTTCACCCGTTCTCCTGACAACAGGTGGCCTCACTTGAGAGGGGCTTCTGGCCCCGACCTTGACCGTACGGCAGACTTCAGCTCCTCCTGGCACTCTCTGACTGGTCTCTTGCAGTTGCCAGACCCTCAGTCTGAGTGCCCTGTGCCCCCGTGTTTCCACCTCAGCTGGTGTCTGTTACCCAGCACACCGGCCACCGGTTCGGCCTGGTTCTTTCTGCACTCATCCTCCTGAGGCCAAGCTTAGGGACCTTTATCAAGAAATCCTTGTGGACTCCTTCATGGTCCTGCCGTATCTTCCTGCTTCATCCCATTTCCTGCTGTGGGTGTGGACTGTTGTTCTGCACACATCGATGCCTTCTGGTTTCTGTGTTCTTGTGTCTCTGCTTTTTCTGCATTTGCACGATGCTGGCTAACCTGTATAGGATACTCTGTCTTCCCACCTCTGCTGGAGGCACAGAGGACTTTGCGGGACTAGTCACTGTGGGGTGTGTGCCTGGTGCACCCTGCCAAACTGCAGCCTATCTGTAATTAATTAATTAATTTTATTATTATTAACTTTTTTTTTTTTTTGAGATGGGCTCTCTATGCAGTTCAGGCCAGCTTTGAACTCACTGTGTAACCCAGGCTGGCCTGAACTCATGGTGATCTCCCTGTGTCAGCCTCCAGAGTATGTGTGTCAGCATGCCCAGCTTGTAATTAGTTTATTCGGCTGTGTAGCCCAGTGCTTTGATGAACACATACATGGATGACTGTGCAGGTTTGTCTCCTGTCCTCACATGGCCACAGCAGACCTTTGGGCGCTTCTCATGTCAAGCTGCAGCTTGCGGTGCTCTAACCACCATCTCCCCAGCTCCCACTGCACTCTGCTGTTCTGAGTCCTGGTCACCATGCCGCGTCCTGCTTCTGCGTGACTGACTTAGCATCCACACAGAGGACTTCTGTTGGCACAGGCGTCTTTCACTTTGCAGAATGCCCTCGGGCTTCGTCCTGTGGCCAGCACAAAAGGCAGAGGCTCCTTCATTAAGACTCAAGCATGTTTCTGTTTCACCGCACCTTCTCCATCCACCAATAGATGTGGTGCTTGCTTCCTGTTTGGCTGCTGTAAATAGTGCTGCAAGGTGTGCTGAGCTCTCTGTGAGGTGCTGCGTTCATTTCCTGTGAGTACTTCCCGCAGGGCTTGCCAACTGGAGTGGTGGTTCCACTGTGCAGCTTTTAAGGAACCTCCGCTTTTCCACGATGGTTGTCCTGATCTACATCCACACCAGTAATGTACAAAGGCTGCTTTCCTCCGCACCCTCATGTCCCACGGCCTTGGTAGGTGCAAGGATGATGATGGGACCACAGTTTCGTTCCTCACTTCCCTGCTGTTTAGTGATGCTGAGTTTCTCCTTAAACCTGTTGGTGTTTATGTCTTTTGGACACATGTCTGTTTGGGTCCATTGCCTGTACCCAGGTTGTGTTTTGCTGTTGAGTTGTGTGAGTTCCTTGTATGTTTTTTATATTAATCCCTTACAGATGTGTGAGTGCAAACATCTCCCCCGTCTGTGGGCTTCTCTTTTTCCCTGTTAGTTTACTGTAATCCCACTTACTTAATTTCACTTGAGCTTTGACTGTGATACCAAAAAGTTCATTGCTGAGGCCAAGCCAAGGAACTTACTGCATGTGTATTTCCCTGGGAGTCTTGCAGCCTCAGGTTTTATGTTTAAGCCTTCAGACCCCCAATTTGAATTGACTTCTGTGCCAGGTGTGAGGATTGAGGTCCACCTTCATTCCTTTGCCTGAGGGTATCCGGTTTTCCTGGTGCCACTTCCTGAAGTGACTCCTGTTCCCCCACCGTTGGCAGTGTATTGTTGGGTTTACTCCTGAACTCTGTTCTGTTCCATTGGTCTGTGGCTCTGTGTCCATGCCCATCCATCCCATAGCGTTTTGATTACCATACATGTGTAATATAGTTTGAAATCATAAAGTGTGATGCCTCCAGTTTTGTTCTTTCTCAAGACTGCTTTGGCTCTTTTTATGGTTCCAGACAGAACTTACGGTTGTTTTCCCTTTCTGTGGAGAATGCCATTGAAACTTTGACAGGGATTGCGCTGAATCTGTGGATTTGGGGATAGTATAAGCACTTTAATGGTATTGATTCCCCCAGTCCGTGAGCATGAGCTGTCTTTCCATGTATTTGTATCTTCAGTTTCTGTCATCAGCATTTTACGGTTTTCCAGTGTATAGATCTTTCATGGTTAAATTAATTCATAAACGTTTTATTATTTTTGATGCCATTGTAAGTGGGATTCTTTTCTTGGTTTCTGTTTTGAATAGTTCGTGTTTAGCATACAGAAACAGAACTGATTGTATGTGTGTTGATTTTGTATCCTGCAGCTTCACTGAATGTTTATTGGTGGGTTTTTGTTGTTGATGTTCTGCATATAGTATGGTGAAGTCTGGAAACAGATAACTTTGCTTTTTGACTTGCATCCCTTCACCCCTTGTGTGTGTGCTCGTTCCTGCTAGTGTTCCGAGGACTGTGCCAGGCGCAGGTGAACAGCCGGCCACCGTGTCGTGGATAGTGGGGCTCAGCTCGGCTCCCTAACAGCAGGGCCGTGGTGGGACTGCGGTTTTGTCCTGCAGAAGGCGCTGGGCGCTGACATCTGAGGGGAGGCTGAGGAGAGGAGCTGGTTGCGCCAGGGGCGACTGAAGACAGATCTAGAAAAAGACCTGGACACAGGATGTGCATCACTCACACTTTGAGGGAGAGTAGTTCTGCTCCTTGGGAACAATTTTCAGAAATGCCGCATGGTCACTGTTTGCCTACATAATTGCTGTGTTCATCTAACGTGATTTTCATTCATATTAAATTGAATTTTCAAGGGTCTTTGGCTGTATTTGTTGGCATTCTGCCATTCACCTTGTGTTTGAGAGCAGCTAAATGGGTTAGCAGCAGTGGCAGACCTGTGGCATGGGTGCCGCAGCAGGCTGTCTGTGTCATCGAAAGTTCTAAAAGCTTCCCCAGCCCTGAATCCAAGTGTAAGCTCCAGGCCAGGTTTTGTTTCATCCAGTTTTACTTTTTCCTCTGTATTTGTGAAGAGATTGCTAATTTAGAACCAGTAGTTATGAAGAGTAACATTAACCCTGATTTCTTTGTTTCTACAGAGGTTGCAGAACTTGAAGCTAATTTACCTTGTAAGTATGCCTCCTTAGTCACGTCAAGTACTGTAAGGTAATTGTATGAACAAAGCTTGTGTTGTTTTAATGACCTTCATAGCAAAAATCTATTTTATGGGCTGGGGATTTAGCTCAGTGGTTCCACTGCCTGCCTCACAAGCGTAAGGTCCCGAATTTAATCCCCGGGACCCCCCCCCAAAAAAAAACCTATTTTATTTTTATTGTTAGAAATTTTTAATTTTGTGTACAGAGAATTTTTGGAGGACATAATGAGAACAGGACTCTGCGGGGTTTCTGGGTGTCGTTTGCAGGATGCAGAGGGTGCTGGCAGACTTTAGACCTCTTCAACATGCACTCTGCCCATGTCTTCTTTGAGTTAAAAGGTGTAGGAATCAAAAAAAGTGGTCCTGCTTTGTTCTTGACAATACTGCCGTTTTGTTCCAGAAAGCTCTTGGTGCAGCCTCCTCTCCAGGGTCACTGTCACCTAGCCTGGCCTGTGCCACCAGCCCCAGATGCACACCCAACTGTAGCCCGCATGTGGGAGGCCCATACTAGGCCACACACTGATATCGTGGGTATCAGAGTGTCTTTTTCTGTCATGAATCCTCTTGCAACCTATTTCTTAAGGCCACCACAGCCTGAGTGCTGACTATTTTAGCATTTTTAGCTTAGGACCCTTCTGTAATCCCTCTTGGGTGAGCAGTATCTCAGGCTGGGGCATATGGCCGTGGTGAGCCATCGGTGCTCCCAGGCGCTCCTGGGTGGCATGCAGTCCACTGGCACCTGTGGGTGGGGAGGTAAGGGCCGCAGCTCCTGAGCCCCAGGAAGTTGCTCCGTGAGGGTAAGTACATGTTCCCTGGAAAGCGTTTTGTGTGGGAAGAGTGGGTTGTGGGAGAAAGTGTGTCTGCTACCGTGGGCTCAGACAGAATGCCCTGGAAGTCCCTGGATTGCTTGTCCTCAAAGTGTTCTCTGTAACTCAGAGTTGAAGGTCTTGCCTTGGGGTTCTGCTACATTGGGTTAAATTTCTACCTACTGAAATGTTCACAGGTGAGATGATGTACTTTAAAGTGAGTGACTGGGGCGGGAGTAGGATAGACAAAGCGAGACTGGCAGATCCTGAAGCCAGGTGGCAGGTTCGCAGCACTCCTCTCCACCCATGTCTTAGGACAAATCCCTAACAGAAAGTAAAAGAGAGCAGCCCTTCTGCTGGCCACCAAGGGGTGCCTCCCACCAGCCCCTGGCTTGAAGGTTTGTAAATGTGCACCTCGTGTTAAAGGTGGTAGACTGCTCTCCCTTACCAGTGGTTTGTTTTGTCCTGGAATGTGACTCTTTCAGAGATTGTTGGGTTTTTTTACCCATAGAGTGTGGTTTAAAAATACAGAACTGGGGCCGGGGATTTAGCTCAGTGGTACTGTGCCTGCCTCACAACCACAAGGTCCTGAGTTGTGAGTTCGATCCCTGGTATCACAACAACAACAACAACAAAACACAGAACTGGAAACCAGTTATAATGCATGCCAGTAATCCAAGCACTGTGGGAGGCTGAGGCAGGAGGAGCTATCATTCAAGCCGGCGGAGGCCCAGTGCTCAACCTTACTAGCATGAAACAAAACAACTTCACAACTGGCTTTAAATTGGAATTTTAACTAAAGAGATTAGGATTGGAAAAGACATGGCCGATCTTCCTGTCTCTTTGGCTTAGGTGTCCTGCGAAGGACAACATGCTAATGTCCCTCTTTGTCCCTTCTCCCTGTCCTCTCCCCAAGGAAGTAGGAAATTGAAGTTAGCTCACAAGGTCAGATATGTTTTCTAAAAGTCTGAAGTTCCTTATTCTATGGAGGGAAGAAGCCACCAGAGACTAAATATTTACTATCTGCTTAGCAATCTTTCTAAAATATTTACCAAGACAGAATAACTTGCCTTGTGGCTGTGCTGTTTAATAATTCTCCTTAGCTAGGAGGAAAGCTTTACATGCAAGTTCACAGAAGCATCTTGCAAGAGTAGAAAGTGTCTCTTCAGATAGGCTGAAGTACCCTTAGGGTTTGAGATGGCTCACGCTTGCATGCCTGGGGAGAAAAGCTCAACTCTGGAGTTTTAATAAGCTCCTACTCTGAACTAAAACAAAAATCTGACTTTTACCTTTTGATTTTTAGGGTTTATCTATTCTTACACTTGAAGACTTTCGGGGTTTTTCAGAGTTTGGTTATTTGTAGCCCCCTGGCGGGCCAGTCTTCCGGAAGGCTTGGCTTCATTCGTGCCTCCTGTTAGGAGAAGCCGAGGGAAGGAGTAGCCTGCAGTGGCTGGTGACTGCACCAGCCTCATCTTGTCGAGAGACTGCTGGACCTTCATCTGTTTTTATTATGTGTATCTCAGAGAAATATGACATTTACACTTTCCCAGTGCAGGTGAGGGAAATGAGCCCATATTCAGTACTCCATGCACAGTTTGGGGTTTTTGGTGGTGGTAGTACTGGGCAGTGAACCTAGGGCTAGATCCTTCTCAGCCCTGTTTTAATTTTCATTTTGAAACAGAGTCTTACTGAGTTGCCCAGGCTAGGATTGGACTTGGCGATCCTCCTGCCTCCTGCCTCAGCCTCCCAAAGTACGTGTGCCACCACATCTGGCTGCACACACAGTTGTAAATGTGTGGTTTGGGGGCAAGTCCTGAACTGTTAGCTATAATTTCTTCTACAGTAGGGAAGATGGCAGTGTATCCCCTAAGACTGCTCTTGTCCATCTAGACTGAGTGATCTGTCCCCCCTGCAGTCCTGGCTCACACGTCTCGTGTCACTGGATGCCAGGCAGAAGTGTGGCCCTGGGAAGGATAGTTGTGAGTTGGGTGCTGCCTGGGGCCCTGGCCTGGAGCCCTGTGAGTCTTGGTGGCCTCTTGTCAGCCGCCCTCATTGGGGTGTGGCATTAGATGGTGTCTGAGGCCACTTCTGACTCAGTATTTGGATTATCCTAATTATGTTGAAATTTTTCCTCATGGTAAAACTGAGCAAATATTTTCAGTGGAATTTAGAAGAAATAAAGTCAGTAAGCCAGACATGGTGGAGCACACTTGTAATCCCAGCCAGGCTGGGCTACCTGGTGAGTTCAGAACCAGCATGAGCTGCTACACAGCAAGACCTTGTCTCAAAAACAAAACAAAACTAAATAAACAGAATGAAGTCAGCAGATGAACTGAAGAGTCTGAGTTTATAGATAGTACAGAAGTATGCATGGCACAAGTGGAGAGCCGCCGGCCTGCCCTGGCCTGACCCAGGGCCCCAAACAGTGCCGTCCAGGCTGGTGGGGCCTCACTCACCCAGGGAGCTGGCCCGGCAGGGTGAAGTCTTTACAGCCAGCCTGCTGCCCACTTGCATGGTAATCTCTCAGAATAAACCAGCAGTACTCTTGAAGTGAGTGGAAAGGTCTGTTTTAGTTACTGTTTAAAGGTTGAAGGAAAGTTTTTCAGTGTTGAATGAACTTGTAAAAGACCTGGAGAGAGAGACACATGGGAGGGCCCTGGTCTGGCCTGGTGGTTGCATCTCCTGGTGGCTCTGTCCCAGCCACGTGGGTTCCTGCATGTCACCGGTACTTGGAGACTGCTACCACCAGCCCGCTGATGTGCTGTTTCTTTTGCAGGTACGTGTAAAGTGCATTTTCCCGATCCAAACAAGCTGCACTGCTTTCAGCTAACCGTAACCCCAGGTAATCGGTACTGCTCTGTACTTAACTCTAGAGTGTTTTCACACAGCTACATTTTAAAGTCTGCCCACGTTTATAATCTTTGTAACCTAGACTGAAAAAGTTTAAGGCGTTTCACACAAACCACACTGTATGGAGACAGGAGGCACTCAGTACCACTGCAGTGACTGTAAGTGGGATATCTAAAAGTCAGGATGGAAGCTGTTAGTGAGCAGGGCAGTGTGGGCTCGGGAGCTGCATGGGTTCTGATTTCCTCCCAGCTCAGAGCAGCATGAGCTTGACCTCCTGGTCACAGCCCCACTTTCCGAGCAGGACAGACAGGCCCTGTCCCAGGCTAGCCAGGAGGACTGAAGAGGGCACATGGATGGCGCAGGTCGCCAGCGTCCTCCCTGGTGCCCAGGAGGGCCTGGCCTCCAGGCCCCACTCGCAGCATATCTCTCCAAGCCAGACCACAGGGCCGGAGGGGGCTTGCGGCTTTTCTAGTTAGGGCGCAGCTCCCAAGTTCGCAGATTTCTGCCCGTGTTGATAGCAGCAGTGGGTGGCAGGAAGTTGATGCTGCAGTTGGGTGGACAGGGGAGGAGGGAAAAGGGAACTAAGCAGAGGGTGTCTCAGAAGTCTGAGCTTTCTCTAAGAAAGGCATGCACAGATGTTTGTGCAGAGGTGCAGAGTGGGACACTCCACCTTTTGTCCCATCTCTGGTTTGCTTTGAAGGCTGCAGCATCCAGAAGTGTCCCCAGAGGACCTGCGATGATTCTCTGGGCAGATGTTGTCATTCTCTTTCAAGATGTAAAGAGGGAGTGAAAATCGCTCAGAGGCTTATGCCAAAGCGAGAGTGAGGATGTTGACGGGGAGAACATGGCGGTCAGTGGAGGTGGAAGTGGCTGGCTTTGGAAGAATTGGCTGAGCCTAGCGCCTGCAGCTGGGTTTTTTTTTTTTTTTTTTTTTTTTTTTTTTTTTTTTTTTTTTTGCTTTGTTTTGTTTTGTTTGTACCGGGGATTGAACTCAGATCCTTGCACTTGCAAGGCAGGCCACCGAACCGCTGGGTTAAATCCCCGGCCCCCGCAGCTGCTTTTGAGGCAGTCTGTCCACACATGTTTCTGCCCTTGGTTCAGCAATGTAGAGCTCAGGTTATTACTAGAAGCTGAGATGGGCAGAAAAAGAAAAACTGAAGGCACAGAGTTCGGCCATGGAAACAGAGGGTGTTATTTCATTTAGGGATGGGAAGGGAGTGGGGGACTGTGACTCAATAGCTGATTCAGGAGTGGAGCAAACACCGAATTTGGTACAAGGTAGTGAGCCTGTGGCATGGTTCTCCTGAGGTACAATGGTTGCTTCCTTTGTGAGAAGTTTATATAGTAGTATAAGTCCTGATTTTGAAATGTCTCAGGAACCTTAAAATTCCCTTTATCGGTGTGGAGGTTCTGCACTGGACCCTCAGACCTGTGCACATTTGGTCTGCTCCCAAGTGGTGCTGAGAACCCTGTCCTCAGAAGTGGTGTGTTCCCTGGCCTGGCATCTCCAGATAAGGGACGTGAATCAGCCTCGAAGCTGCAGGGTGGGGAAGACTCCCTCCCGGTCCTGTGGCGGCCTTCCTGTAACAGCGCACATTCTGCTGTCCTCACAGAGCTTCCTCAGACGCAGGGTCACCGCCACCGGGAGTGTCACGTACCTGCCGTTACGCAGTGCAGGCATTGCCCGAGGGCTTGTGGTCACATCAGTTCCCTGCTCACACAGATGCACCCTGTCTCAGCTGTGTGAGCACTTCTCCCTCTGCCTTCCGTCTGGAGTGTGCCCCAGGGCTGGCAGGGAGCCTGAGCTCTGCGGCCCTTGGCCATTCCCAGCCTTGCTGTCATGAGGGTTTCTGTGGAGTCTTACTTCTCAGGGAGTGCCATCTGCCCCCTTAATGAACTGAATCCCACAAGTGCTGTGACCCTGAAGGTTATGTGGATGGCAGCATGTTTGCTGTTCCGATCCCAGTTCTGGGAAGTGGAGAGGAATTGCTAGTTTTGCCATTTTTGGGGCCAGGTTTTAGCTCAGTGGTGCCTCGCCTGCCTCTCAAGTACAAGGTCCCAAGTTCAGTCTCAGGCACCACAAAGAAAAGTATTTTGGTGGTGCCTGTGAATACTTAGATTTGTAGCAAGTGCACATCGGGGACATTGGTGTCACCTTGAACTGTGTGCTCAGCGTGCTTCCATACTCTGAGGTACGCCCTGGTTTTGGATCATCAAGAGAACTGTGGCAATGATTTGTGAACTCCAACACTTACCCAGTGTCACGGTGTTTACCAAAGCTGTCCGGAGTCCCACTCCTCAGTACTGAAGAGCCACAGAGAGCCTCATCGGTGACCCTATAACTTAGGGTCCTGCATGACACGAGGGATTTTGAAACAGGCTGGTTTGCAGCAGTGCTCCCGAAGCTGGTTCCAAACTCAGTAATGTGTGTGCAGGAGGTGTTCAGAGAGTCACTGGTGGGCCCTGTCCACACTTGATAGCATTTTCATTTTTTTGTGTTTGTTTTGAAATGGTCTCTCATACTTGGGAATAAATCCACTTTTCAAAGCAAAAACAGGAATGTCATTTGTTGATGAGGAAAAGAAAGGGACTATGTTTATGGGGGAAGTCTCTACATCAACTCCTACAAGAGAAAGTACTAGAAAGTGAGATGAGCCAAACAAGACCCAAGGACAGGAGCAGCTCTCCAAGTCCTCAATGGGTGCCAGAGGCCTTGTGATTGCCAGGGTGATGAACCAAAGGTTTTATTTGTTTGTTTACCTGTGCTTGTGTGTGCACATGAACTGGAGATTAAACCCAAGGCCTTGGCACTGAACTGCATCCCAGCTCTTTTAAATATTTTTTATTTTCAGTTGTTAAACTGCCTGGACTAAGCTCAAACTGATACCCTCCTGCCTTGCTCTCCATGGTGCTGGGATTACACACATCGACCACACCCAGCTTTGTTTTTTCATGCTTGCTTTTTTTTTGAGACAGGGCCTTGCTCTGTTATTCCGGCTGGCCTTGAACTCACTACTAGCCGAGGCTGGTCTCAAACTACTGTTGACCCTCTTGCCTCATCCTCCCAACTGTGGGGATTATAGGTGTGTGCCACCATGCTCTACTGATGTATAAAATGTTAAGCTTCTATTCCTGCGGTGAACCCTACTTGATTATCATGAGTTACCCTGTTTCGTTTTGTTTTATAAAAAAGATTGTTGGGTTCAATCTGGTGGTGGTAGTTCCTTAGAGATTTCCATGTCAGTAATCATGAAGAACGCTGCTGTTCTGTATTTTCCCCCTTGTCCGTAATTTCATTGTCTCATCTTGGCAGTGGTGGTGTGAGTTAGGAATGAGAGGAATTCTCTTCTTTCCTGAGCGTGTGTAGCTTTGCCTCACTGCTTCCTTCGGGGTCAGCATTCTCGAGCTAGCAGTTCTTTGCCAGGACAGAACTGAGCCCAGTTTATTTAACATAGAGTGCCATCGTCCCTTACGCTTCTTCTTAAGTCACTGTCCATTGTGTCTCTGCCAAGAGGCTTGCCCGTTTCATAACTAGTTGTAGGACAGCCTGATGTGGAAGTGGCTCCGGAGTTCCTCTTCTGCTAGTATCCCCAGGGCCTGTAGCAGTCCCAGAAAGGTTTAGAATGCAGCCAACCCTTAATGTCGTGGACGCTTAGATGCGTGGGCTTGCGCTTTGGTCCCTGGCTCTCTGCACGCTGAGTTTTCGTTTAGATGAAGATGGAGCATTGTGACTGCTGCGGCAGTGTTTCGCCTTGCTCTGATACTTCCTGGACTAGGTGGTACTGAGTGGATGCCCAGCGCTGGTACAGACACAGCTCATCTGCTTTCTCTCTTCTCCAGTCTTGGGACTGGAATCCAGGGTCTCTACTGCTGAGCACAACCCTGGGCTTTCTTTTTTCTTTTTTTTGGTACCACAGCTTGAACTCTGGACCTCCCACTTTTGGAGGCAGGCAGCCGCACCACTGAGCTAAATCCCTGCCCCTGCCCGGGGCCTTTTTAAATTTGAAATTTTGAGACAGGAACTCGATAAGTTGCCAGATTGACCTCTTAACTTTAGAGCCTCCTGCCTGGGCCTCCTGAGTACTGGGGTTGTGGGCCTGTGCCCCCCACACCCCATTACTCTCTGTTCCATGCTGATTACTGCTCCTGTCAAGCACACAGCTCCCAATCAGATTCTTTTATGGGTGCTCAGGCTTCCTGAAGTGAGGATGAAATGAGTAAGTTTAAGACTTTTAGCAATTAAAAACTGCCCACCCTAGGACCAGGGATTTAGTTCAGTGGTTCTGGTGCCTGCCTTGCAAGTGCAAGGACCCAAGTTTGATCCCCAGAACCCCCCAAAAATAAATAAATAATAAAAGAGGTTTCAGTTTCCCACCCACACGCAGCTCCGTTCAGTGGCAGCGGCTTTCTCTAACTTTCTCTCTGAGCCTGCCTGTCTAGCCCAGCCCTCTTTCAGTTTCCCGCCCACACGCAGCTCCGTTCAGTGGCAGCGGCTTTCTCTAACTTTCTCTCTGAGCCTGCCTGTCTGCCTGAGCCCTGCTGGCAGTGTCCCAGGGCAGCCGGTGTGTGTGGGGTTAATTGCTGTTTCTGTAAGAGACTCTCTGTTTTAGAGATGTTTGTTCCATTATTTCCCCCTCTTTAACTTATTTTTTTCTTATTATGGGATTTCGAGGTTTCTTTATTCAAAATGTCTTTATCAGATGCATGTTTTAAAGATATTTTTCCTACTTGGTGACTTTTTTTTGTTTTTGTTTTTGTTTTTTTGTTTTGTTTTTTTGAGACAGGGTCTCACTATATAGTTGAGACTGACCTGGAACTCACTATGTAGCCCAGGCTGGTCTCCAACTCGCAGTGACCCTCCTGAGCCTCCTGAGTGCTGTGATTACAGGCCTGCGCCGCTCCACCCGGCCTGGTGACTTTTAATTTTATTACTGTCTTCCAGAACAGGAATTCAAAATTAACATTGGTAATACACAGTATATGATTTTGTTCTTTGTGATAGTGTGACAGTGAGAATAACAGCCCTGAAGATGGCCCTGGCGTAACCCCAGGAACCCGCAGGTATTGTGTCACGTGTCACGGAAGGTGGATGCCAGTCATGTGACCTTCGAACAGGAAGGGCAGTGCGGGGTGCCAGATGGTGGGCCAAAGGTAGAGAAAGGGTCCTCAGGGGTTCCGGAAGGAGGTGTGACAACAGGAATGAGGCAGGGAGGTGAGGCTTTGTCCTCAACAGTGGAAGAAGGGAGCCGGAGTCTCAGATACCAGGAAACGGATCTTGCCTGGAGCCACCCGAACGGGATGGCACTTGGCCAGCACCGACACTGTAGCCCAGAAAATAGTAAATTTTATTGTTTTGCTGCTACAGAAACTGGTGAGACTACTTGGAGCTTGTTACATCCTGAGAAATCGTTAAGACATACAAAGATTCCTCCTTTATAAATTGAAGAAAACATTTTAGTTTTAGAATAAAGTCTGTGATCCGTTTTGAGTTCATATTTGCACTTGCTATAAGATAGAGGTGTAATTTCTGTTTTTCTCCCACATTTGAATTCCAGTTGTCTCAGTGTCTGCGGAAGAGGCTCTTGCCCCCTGAATTACTTGGGCATTGTGTTGGTGTGACTTGACTGTTACTTTTGGACTCTGTCTTTTCTCAGATTTTGGGGGGTTTGGGGGTTTGTTTGTTTGTTTTTCTTTTCTTTTGGTACCGGGCCCTGCATCGGCACCTCTGCTCAGCCCTCAGCATTGGGCTCACGCTCTGCTTTTCATAGTGGTGTCAGGGTGGAAGTGGCTGAGGGAAGCTGTAGTCACCCCAGCCACCATACTGTGCTGTCTGAACTCGGAAACCTTCAGAGTCAATGAGAGCCTGTTTCCGGTGCCATGTCAACCCTTACAGAAGCAAGCATGTGACAGGGAAGGCACAGCCCTCCCGCGCTTCAGCCAGGGTGCTGCTCAGGTCTCTGTCCTCTGTCGGTCACCTTTCTGTTTCTGGAATAAATGTCTGACACATGCAGCTAACAGGAGAAAATTGTACTATTTCCGAGGCCTGGGTCTGGTTAGCTGGCTCTAGGGCTGAGCTACATGATAGCGGAGAGCTGCCCACCTGCTGGTGGCAGGGAGCCCGGAATAGTGACATTTCCAATGTCACCCCTCGGCCGGCTGGGCCACTCTCAGCAGCCCGCAACAGAGCCTGAGGCTGGACCAGATCCACAGATCCCCAGATCGGTCTTCTCCAGGCCCCAGCTGAGCGCAGCCTGCGCTGTCTCCCACTTGCCTCGCGGAAGAGCATCAGCCTCCTGTTTGCCAGGAGGAGACCATCGTGAAACGGGCTGGGAGAGTGGGTGTCCACGGGCCTGTGTGGTGCTATTGGCTAACTCACTCCGGAGGGAGTGCGTGGGAAGCTGGCCATCCAGATGCAGATTCTGCCCGAGTGTTTATATGGTCAGGGAGATTCTTAGGAACTGGGAGAACAGAACTTTACGGGCGCGGGGGGACCACGAGCTTGGTGTGTAGTTCCTCGAAGGAAAGAGTGAGTGGACCCCAGAGCACAGTGGAGGGAAGAACAGTTCCTCTAGTGGGGGCCAGGAGCCCCCTCCTGCGTTTCAAACCCTGGCTTGCTGAGAAGTGAGAGGCCACGGATGGTCCCCATGGCGTCGGCCGTCTAGACTTGTGTGCTGTGCTGTCTACGCACTGCCATAGCCACTGTGGATCAGGCCCAAGCTTCGCCTTCCCCTGGGCAATGCGGCCTGCTGGGCAGATACAGTGGCCGAGTATCGGGTGGGGAGGGGCACGGAGATGCTTTCACTTTTTGCGGTCTGCTCCGCAGGAGAAGCCCGGAGCAGGAGTTGCTTTTGTCCCCCCAACCTGCATTGTAAGCTGGACAGTGGGGTTCTGGGCCAGGTCAGTGGCAAGGAAGCAGGTCCTTTTCATGAAAGAGAAAGAAATCAGAACTGCCTATTCTTGTTTTCAAAGAGTTAGGAGAAGCTGCGATTATTGAGAAATTCTCTGGGATGCCATCTCTGAATCTGGTGAGCAGCAGATTTGGGACGTGAGCTGGAGAATACGTGGGTGGCGTGGCTGGGCTTGTGGCTGGGCACAGCCTTGCAGACAGACCTGGTGTGCAGTGGGGTGGCCAGGCCCTCCGCAGCTGCGGTGACACCGTGGGCACTTGCTCTGCAGTGGCTGAACATGAGTCCCAGCCGTGGGGGTCAGGTCAGTGTGTGAGCAGCGTCCCCTGGCTTTAGTGCTCAAGCGTGGGGATGAATGGGGCACTTATGGGTGTGTGAGCCCTCGGCTCAGGCCCCAGCATTGCCAGAAACCAAAAGTTGGAGCAGAAGAACTCCTGACAGACAGGCCTCCTTGTTTTCTTTCATTTTAAGGTGTCTCTTATTTGAAAAGTTCTCATCTACTTAAACATGTTCCCAAATTGGTATCTTTCCCAAAGACTGTCCTGACAGTCACAAATCCAGGGGTGTTTATGAGAATTACAAGTATACTTGTCAAAGTGGAGGCAGAATAGAATAGTAAATGCTGGAGGGGTGCTTAAACAACCAATCAATCAGAAAACAACACTTTGTTCTTCATGATGAGTCAGCTGATTAAATGTAATATGCAAACCCACAAAACTACTAGAAAGTTCAGGAGGGCATTTCTGTAATCTTGTTGGGAAAGACCTTTTTAAAGCATGAGTCCAAAGACAAAACCCATGAAGGAAGACTGGCTTCTTATAATAGAAAACTAGTGTTCAGGACCAGTGCAGTCAAAAGGTAAACAGCAGACTAAGAAAAATGGCTTGTAATGTATGAAATGCAAGGGTGAACTTTCTTAAGAGCCTTTTAAAAAACAATGATATTCAAAAGATGAATATCTCAGTAACCACACTTTAAAAAGCAATTAAGTTACTAAAAGAAAAAAGAGAAATGGCCAATTATCTGATACAAAATTCAGTATCACTAGTGTGCAGCAGATGGATGTAAAATCAAAGAGAAGTCATTTTTTCTTGTGTCAGATTGGCAAGGACTAAGAACAAGGTAGTAGCCCCTCTAACTGCTGGGCAGTGTCTGAGAACTCCTGAGGGAGCAGAATGTTCCAGTGATTTGTGTGATGTGGGCGGCCTGCACTCCAGTGTCCGTTGTATATTAACATTGAGGGACGAGGTGAGAGAGAACGCGGCAGGAGTGTTCATGGCCATCCGTGCCTGGGGAGGTTGGGCTGTCATTTAAAGATGGCGCTCACTGTGCGCTCAGGAAGCTGGGAGTTTTCCAGGCTCTTCTGTACCAGTGCATCTTCTGCTGGCAGCATCACCGGCAGCACTTCCTGGTCCAGAGAGGGGCTGCCCTGTGGGGTCTGCAGGTTTGGGGGTCAGACGTCCTCCTGCGTGCCCTCTGGGGCCGGCTCTGTCCTGATGCCACCTCTCCAGGCCCTTGCTGAGGTGGCCATTGGTTCCCTCTGCTTCCCTGTGGGCCCCTGCCTGGGGCGGGTGGCCAGGATTCACAGGGTGGGTGGGACCCCGCATGCTCGTGGCCCGTGGTGAAGGAACTAGTTCTAACCTCTTTTCAGTTTGCCATGTCCTAACTGAGCGTTTGCTTTTTGTTTTCTCTCTTTTTTTTATTTAAAAGAATTTTTGTTTTGTTTTGTTTTCTGATAGATGAGGGTTACTACCAGGGTGGAAAATTTCAGTTTGAAACTGAAGTTCCTGATGCATACAACATGGTGGTGAGTAGCCTGTGTTTGGGCCCTGACTTCCCCAACCTGTCAGTGCCCATCCCAGTGGCCCTGTCACCTGCACCGGGCCCTCGCTGTCTCTGCATGTGTCCTGGGGGCTGAGTGCACAGCCCTCATGTACCTGGGCTGATTGTCATTCGCTAGCAGAAATGTAGCGCTCTGGTACAGAAAGCGGTTCATTCAGCATATAAGTGCAGGGTCATGTGTACTGTGTGAAGGCCATCTGCCTGCGTACTGGATGCAACTCTATGTTTGGTAAATAACAAAAAAGGCATTTTTAATTGAAACACTGGCTTTGTTTATGGTATCAGGCCCAAATTCCAGAAGTCTGTGTAAAGTGTGCTTTAGAATTTCAGGGAATGAGGAGTAACTGCACCCAGACGGTATGCTTGTGCCTCTGCGACCTTCTCAGTAATTGTTAACGCCAAATGCCAGCACATTCCCTTTGCTCTTGAGGAAGTGCAGAGCCAGTCGGGAGGTACGAGAAAGGCTAGAAGGCTGACAGAGGGAAGCTAGTGCTGAGCGCAGACTAATGGAGGACAGACAGCCAGGGTGTGGGGAGTCTGGGAAGGGACATAGATGGCCACAGCTAGAAGTGGCTCAGGCAAGACAGCTGGAGCTGGCAGTCCTCCCGCTGTGGCCGGGGGTATCCTAGACAGGACGCGTGGCCACAGTGTGGGTAAGGACTTGCCCCGAGGAGGCAGATTGGCCAGGCTGATGGATGGAGAGTTGGGGTGAGGGGATGATGGGGAGAGAAGATGAGGAAGCTTGGGGCTGGGGGCATCATACGACTGCTGGCAGCTGGGCCTGTGGCCCACTTGCCTCACTGCCGTTAAGGACAAAGATGTATAATGCAGGTCTGGTGTGCATCGTCTCAGTGTGTTCTCCGGAAGTCCTCTAGCCTCTCGGCCTGTACCTAGAACAGAACAGCCTGATGGTGGCCCAGCAGTTGTGTGGCTGGCAGCCAGCCACTGTGTCGTCCACCAGCCCCAGACTCCAGTGACAGTTCAGTGGCGCAACGCTTGTGTTTGAAGCCAAATCTGAATGCACAGAACTTGCTACAGTAAAGGTTCTTTATGGAAATGAGGAATAGTTGACAATATAAGACAAAGGAAATTAGTTTTACACGAAGCCAGGAAAGCGTACTTTGGGGATGTGTCCAGCCAGGCACCTCCGGGACTTAATACCTGTCCCAGGTCACAGTGATAGCAGGCTCGAGTGCAGATGTGAAGAACTGAGGGCCAGTTTGGGGGTGCTTGGGACAACAAGGGTACAGAAGGAGAGTTCAGGAGTGCTGCTGAGTACCTGGGCACAGCCGTCTTGGGCCAGCCTGAGTGGGAAGGCTGAGTTCGGGTGGGCCCTGAGTGCCCCAGAGAGCCAGGCGGGGCTGGAGGGCTTTGGCCAGCAGTGTGTCTTGTCCTCACTGTAGAGGACGCCAGTCAGAGGAGACCTGCGGTGGGTCCTGTGTCCAGCATCCCCTCACCACATCTCATTGTGCTCAAGGCTCAGGGCTCACCTTACTTCCTTCTCTATCTGGTAGGAAGACAGGGTTCGGGAAGCTTATGTGAAGATGTTCCCAGCTAAAGCCAGGTGTGAGGCCGGGACCTGGAGCTTAGCCACTTGGGAGGCTGAGGCTGAGGCTAAGGGAGAAGCGCTTGAGTCCAGAATAGAGAGACTCCTCAGCACAACAGAAACCGCACAGTGCACCTGCTTAGCTTTGCCAGTACAGAGTACGGGCAGCCCCGTTCTGCGCGAGTGCCCCTCACACGCCACCCTTCCATACCTGCCACCTGCCCCTCCACCTGAGAGACAGTGCGGGACAGTACCCAGAAAACCTGTTAGCCTCAGCGACTGTGTCCGCAGTGTCTGTTCTTGGGCCTTCTCCTGCTGTCCATGTGGACGCTCATGTGTCGTGTCATCTGTGGGAAATGGCACGGGTGTGTGGCTTTGTCCTCCTGTGGCCAGGTGGCCAGGCAGGTCCTGTCATCATGAGGGGCTCTCTGTCACGTTTTTCAAAGCATTCGCAGTGTAAGAGTGCCTGGCCAGCATTGGTCCTCCCTGGGCCATGGACTGCCAGGGCTGCAACGTCCTTGCTTTCCTGGGCTAGGTCCTGGAGGTGGCGGGCGGATGCCATGTGGAGGCTCAGTTCCAAGGCCCCAGCAGCCCCAGGCGGTCGGGCCAGAGGGCCGCCCCCTCCAGGACCTGACTCCCCAGCTCTGAACGCTCCCCACCCTGGAGTGCTTTTGGTTTTTTTCCTTTAGTATTTTGGGAAGAAATAAATGTTATCTAATTACCATTTGAATTTTCATTCTGTTTAGGTACTAATTATTATTTCTTATTTACTAGCTATTTACATTTTTATGAACCACTATTATGTCCTTTGCCCCTTTTTCCATTGGGGTATTTTTTTCTTACGGCTCTATAAGAGCCCTTACATATAAACTGTGTGACACTGGGCATGGTGGCACATATGAGGCTGAGGTTAGGAGGATGGCAATTTCGAGGCCAGCCTGGTTAACATAGCAAGATTTTGTCTTAACAGAGTGAAACAAAACAATGAAAAACAAATACACAGAACATGAAACTTAAAAATTTTCCTTATCTCTGCTATAATTTTGTTTCTGGCATCTTATTAGTCTAAATTTTTTGTTTCACTTCTGTAGTGAAATGTCTACCTCATATGAGTTTTCATGTTGTGAAATGCTTACAGTGGCCCTTCAGACACCAAGGTGGTCGTGTGTATTTCTTTCTGGTGCTTTTATAGGTTAGTCTTTTGTGCTCGATTTGAATGTGTCTGGAATAAAGGTGTAAGGGGCATTTTGCTTTTCAAGTGGTTAGCTGGGGGCCCCCAAACAGCCTCCTTTTCCTCGTTGACTGGAAATGCAGGATGGGGGCCTAGACGTTTTGCTGTAGAGTGTGGGCGGAGGGTTTGTAGGTGAGATAGATGAGTGGGGGTCCAGGTCCACGCGTCCACTGTGGAGCTTTGCATGTTCCCAGCCACATACAGGACCTTGTGTGACATGGTCCTTGTGAGGACCTGTCACCATCTGACCTGGGCAGACACCAGCCAACCCTCAGGAGGGAGGTCCTGGCCTTGCTCTGCTTCCTGTCATGGTGGGCACTGTCCTGTTCATGAGCCTGGACCTCCCTCCCCACTGAAGTCCTCGCCAAAGCCGTGCCGTTCCTGTCCCTTGTTAATGCACCAGTGTGTCAGATGCACTAGCGCTCCCGCTGAACCCTGGGACATGCAGGTTTGCACAGTAGGTTTCATCACTTTTGGTGGAAACCTATTTTGTGAAATCAGAAAGACAGCACAGGAGGGGCTGGAAAAGTCTATGCCTTGTCTAAACAAAATACTAGAAAAGCCACAGGTAAGTATATGGATAAGGGCTCACATTTCCAGAAATGCGATGTATAAAATGGAATGCTGCGCGTGACACTGTCGGTGCCAGGGCTTCTGAGCAGCAGCTCCTCTTCACCCCCGGAGGCCGTCTCAGCAGGGCTGGGTGGAGCAGGGAGCAGCCGAGCTGGTGGGCCATTTGTGGGAAAGGAAGGGGAGCGTGGCTCCCTCCCAGGAAAAGGAGCAGCATGGCCAGAAGAGAGGCCCAGAGCCGTGCACTGTCTGGGAGGGCGCTTCTGCGTGGATGGAAGCAAGCACGTGACTTGTACTTACACATTTGTGCACTTGTACACATGTTATATAACATGCGTGTGTATAACATACATGTGTATTTTCATGTGTTGTGTTAGATGTGATGGCGTGTTGTATACACGCATTTACTTCCTTTCATTTTTGTTGTCTCTTAAAAGAATGTAGATTAAGACCTTTATCTACATATGCCGAGTTGTGAATGTCGTGGGAACACTTCGTCCCCACGAGCTCCTTTAAATTCTAAGTATACAATGGACAAAGACCCCATCTAGGAAAATGCAGGTAGCAACATCATCTTCAGAATCATCAGCCAAGAAGCCCAGTATAATGGCGCATGCCTATGATCCCAGTGCTTGGGAAGCTGAGACAGGAGGATCTCGAGTTCGAGGCCAGTCTGAGCAATGTAGTGAGACCCTGTCTAAGAAACAAAAAAGATACCTCAGTCAAGGAAACGGGCCATTCTTGTGAGCTGTTCTTGTAATTTGGGGCTGTGGCTCAGTATGGAGACGTAAAGCAGCCTGTGTATGGGCTCCTGTTTGGTTTCGGGCCCCTGGGTGAGGGTCTCCGACCCAGAGTGCAGCCAGGCCTCAGTCCCGCACTGTCATCCTGAGCCTCCCGTAGGCTTTGCTGGGCTCGAGTTGGTGCCTGGGCAGGGCGGGCTGCCCTGGGCTATGGCATGGCCTGGATGGTCCTCACCTTCGGCTCTCTGTGTTGCAGCCTCCCAAGGTGAAGTGCTTGACGCGGATCTGGCACCCCAACATCACAGAGACAGGGGAAATATGTCTAAGGTGAGTGTCTCCTCATGCCCACTCTGAGACCTGACCTGCCTCATGTTAGCTGAGGGAAGAGGTGGCATTGTGGTCCTGCCCCAGGACCCCAGCCAGGGACCCTGCAGTGGCCCACTTCTGAACACAGGGAGGCTCAGCGGCACCCCCTCCAGCTGCTGTCTGGTAGTGAGCTGAAGATGTGCTTTTTGGCAGCTGGTTGGTTTAAAAGTCAGCTCTGTGTTTGGACCTTGTGTTTCTGTGTCTGTCCCAGTGTGGAGTGAGAGGTGGTATTTGTCACGTGGGCTCTTGGCCCTGCTGTAATGCAGCCCGCAGTGGCAGTGTGGAGTGGGTGGAGCCCGTGGTGAGAAGTAGGTGGGCTTCCTGGGGCAGGGTCCTCTCCCCTCCTCTCTCCTCTCTCCAGTCAGTGGGTGGGTAACCACCAGCCACCTTGGCAAGGGAGCCTGAGCTGCTGGGGTGCCTTCTGTTGGCCTCTGTTCCATCCCAGAAGTGCAGCCCATGGCCCTGGCCTCCTGCATCTGTTGTGTGTTGCTGTTTCCTTACCTCAGCCTCGTGTTTACAGGCAGTCACACAGATTTATACAATATAGGCATGCCTTTTCCCCAGGGTCTCCCCTTTGCTCCTGCCCCAGCTTTAGTGAGGAGTTCCCTCAACTTTCCCTGTCCCAGGACGTGCTGGCCGGCTCGGGGATTGCCACTCCCCTTCCCTGTGTGGTCCCTGCCTTGGTCAGAGCTGGGCCAAGGATGACAGCAGTGAGCAGGTGGTGGCCTGATATAAAAGCCACCAGCCTTAAAGGAAACATGGTTCAGTGTGACCACATTAAAATAAAAATATAGCCAGACATGATGGCATATGCCTATAATCCCTGCACTCTTGGAGGCTGAGGCAAGAGGGATCATAAGTTCAAATCCAGCCTGGGCAACTTTGTGAGACCCTGTCCAAAAAGGGATAAGGATGCAACTGAGTGTGAAGGCCCTGGGGTCAAGCCACAAAAAAACTAACAAAAAGTCATAAGCACAAAATGAAAAGAGGAACGCTAGTGGGATGAATATCCTTGTGTGTAAACAGCCCCTAGCACTGGGGGGCAGGTGGGCTGAGTGTGGCCACACATGCGTGATTTGAAGGAGAGACACATCCTTACTGGCTGCCAGAGAAAGGTACACATGGGACGGAAGCCGATGGCAGGACAGCAGGCGTTGGCTTGAAAGGCACATCCGCTGGGCCTTCAGGCACACCGTCTGCACCTGACTTGTGTTGACGTGTGGTTGTCTCCCGCTGGCTTGTCAGCTATCTTACGAAGTCCCATGCCAGGTCCGCCGATGTCTGGGGAGGACAGAGGGCATGAGCCTGGCTGGACTTGAGTAGTAGCCATGCCTGCAGCTACCCTCTGGATCCTGGGAGAGTGTCTGCCAGGTTCTCCACACAGGACCCTCAGCACCTGTGCCTTCTGGTACTCCCGAGCACTTCCTTTAGCTAGAGACTGCCTGGCCCCATGCTGTTGTCCTCTGGGCCCTGCTTGAAGGGCTGCTTGATCCTGAAGGGGTCTCGCTATGTGCCTGCCCCATAGTCACAGGCTCCATGTCAGGATGGAGAGCCCAGGTCAGGAGCTCGGTAGTTGCACTCGAGCCCTTGGTCCTGGTGTCTAGGCTGCCAGTGTGGTCCCTAGATGTCCTCTGTCCCCTTGCTTAGTCACCTCCTGCTGGGATGTCTGCATGTGAGCTCCTCTGCTGGGACCGCCATCTGCAAAGGCCAGACTAGAACCCCCACAGCGCCCGGAGCACTGCCCCTCTCATGGCCTCGTGGCCCTTGGTCCCCTTACCTGCCTCCAGGTGTGGAGTCCTCATGCCCACACGGCACTGCTGGCAGGACGCCCATTCATCAGCTCCCTCCCTCCATTCCCGCCCGGCCCTCACTGTTGGCTGAGCCAGGCTGGTGGAAGCTGTTTGCGTGTCCTGCTAGTGTGGGGTGAGAAGGCAGACAGACAGCTGGGGGTTGGTTCCCCGTCCTAGTAGCATAAGCTCTTGCTGAGTCAAGAAGCCCCTGGGACTTCATAGATCTCTTAGAAAGCTGTTCAGAAGTTGTGAGGTTTCAGACCCCTTCAGTTATATTCCCCCTGTGCCTCTGTGGGTGGAAAGATGTTCACCCAATTAGTAGAGTAAGTGAATCTTCTTCTCTTTTTAAAGCTCAGAGTAAATTTTAATGGTTAATTTTAGGTTGATTATATTTCTCTGGTTTTCATAGACAATTAAGATTATAGTTTTGATTCAAAGTCTACACATATACGTGTTTTCTCCTGATATGAATTGACTAATGTGAATTTGGACATACTGTACTGTAAATAAGGGAAAATCTGTCCCAGGTAATAATTAGGCCCTTATAAAAGCCTGATGTTACCTTGGTGGCTTAGAGACTTGGGTGTGCAGGTCAAAGCCATGCACAGTGTAGTTAACAAATCTCCAGAAAGCAGCTTGACAATAAATTACAGCTTTTGAAATATGGGAAATGGTTGATGTGAGAAAATACACTTTGCCTTCGCCCTCATTAGGAGAGCCATGATCATGAGTGGGACCTGGGCACCCACTTAGGAAGCAGCGCCCCTTCGCCCCTCAGAAGCAGCATGTGCCACCCTCACCTAGCCCAGCCCCACTGGGGGCTGCTGCCGAGAATTTTGCCTTGACTGGCTGACGTTTCCCTTCTCAAAAGCCACATTCAGCTGGCGCGTTCAGGAGCTTGTGTCCTTGCCAGCCTTGGGTCAGCCTGGGGCGGGCAGTGCAGCTCCTGGTGGCCGCCCGGTGAGTTGAGTCCCTGTCTCTCCTAAGATGGCAACTGCTGCGCTTCTTCAGGTCGGAGGCATCGTGCGAGTTCAAGGACCTGTGTTAGGGTTCTGCCTGGCACAGGTGGTAAACGCGGAGCCTGTTACTCCTGTGGTGGTTTTCATTAGCGTCGCTCTGAAAACTGAAATGACCAGTGTTCTTTGTGTGTTGTTTGAAGCACGCTGAAAACTTCCATGTCAAGGGTTAGAGATCTGTGTGCAAAGTGACCAGAGGAAAGTGCGCAGATGTTAGGACTGACTGCATCCTGCCTGAAGTAGAGACAGTGGTCCTCGGCAAGGCAGGAGGTCGAGAAGCTGCAGAAGAAGTAGCTCTGGCTGGAGGTCCTGGGGGCACCTGCGCTGACCACCTTGCTTTCTGTTTCTGTTTCAGTTTACTGAGAGAACATTCAATTGACGGCACTGGCTGGGCTCCCACAAGAACCTTAAAGGTGAGTGCCAGTGCCTTCGGGCTACCGTCCTCCTGCTGGCCAGAGGGACACCTGGGCAGTGTCAGCCATCACAGGAAGCCCGGGGGCTTGAGACCATGTCCTCTAGAGAATGCTGCACACTGGTGCGGAAAAGGATTGTCACCAAGTGGGTGCCTGGGGACACAGTGCAGGAGGTAGCTTTGGACTGCGGCCTGGTCTCAGGGGGAACTGCTGACCTTAGGACGTTGTGACCCGCTTCCTCCCAGGCTGTGGCCTCTGCCCCACGGCAGCCCAGCCTGGCCCTCTCTGCAGCCTCCGCCGGCTGCCCTCTCCTCCTGCAGCCCCACGCAGATGGCTGCCACTTCTCTGGGAGCCTCCCAACTGGCCTGCCTGGCCACCACCTCCCTCCCCACACAGTGCTTGTCCTCCGCTCCTGGCTATCCTGGCACTGAGGGGGTCAGGGTGGACAGGAGGAAGCGGGCAAGGCGGCTGCTAGCCAGCAGAGCATGGGTGGGCCATGAGGACCAGTATGCATAGCACTTGCTTTCCAGCAGCAGACAGCACTGGCTTCCTGTTTTATCTGAAGGACAATCTCTGATCTTTGAAATATGTGCCAGTGCTTGTCCTCCGCTCCTGGCTATCCTGGCACTGAGGGGGTCAGGGTGGACAGGAGGAAGCGGGCAAGGCGGCTGCTAGCCAGCAGAGCATGGGTGGGCCATGAGGACCAGTATGCATAGCACTTGCTTTCCAGCAGCAGACAGCACTGGCTTCCTGTTTTATCTGAAGGACAATCTCTGATCTTTGAAATATGTGCGCCCCTTTTTTTTTTTTTTTTTTTTT